GAGGAAGCTGGCGTTTCTGTTGATGAGGGCGCGGTGCCAGATGTCGGGGACGTGGTCGACGAGGTCGAGGCCGTTGTTCCGGCGGAGCGAGTGGAACATGGCTCCTGTGATCTTTTCTGCTAGAATCGCCAGCGACTCTGTAGACAGCCGGGGGGTTGCCGGGCCAAAGAGGCCGGGTATAACAAGGGGTTCATGCCCACCGGGTAGATGCACGCTCCACCGCGACAACGCCGTCCACAACCGACTGAACGCCCTGTAATCCTTACAGATCAGCAGATCAAGGTTAGACTCAAACGTCGAGCCGGAGAAAATACTCGGACAGTCGCGGTTGCGGACAATCGCCCACTCCCGATTCTGCCGACAGCACCACGCAATATAATGGAAGACCAGCGTCCGCGTATTGAACCCCCCACCCCACGCCGCAGTAAGGTAACTCTCCCCGTCAATCGTATACCCACTCGGCTCCCAGCGCCCTCGTCGTTTCAGCTCAGCAAGCGCATGCAGCTTCCCCCGCGCAATAAGCTTCTGAATCGGATCAACAACGTTGAGCGACGCTATATTCACATAGATGCGCTGTCTTGTGTGCGGGCGCGCAGGCTGTGTCCCGCCCAGCCCTGCAGTCGCGGGCCTGAACTGCGCGTCGTACCAGGCGGCCTGTCCTGTTTCCGTTGTCTCGGACGGCACGCGCGGGACCGTCCAGCAGTCCCAGCGTCGGCTGCCTTCGTCGAACATGGCGACGGCGTGTGCGGGGTCTTCCATGAAGCGGAGGAGTTGTCGGCGCGTGTACATTGCCAGCGCGGCGGCGTTGGTGCCGTTTGGTGGGATGGGGTGCGTTCCGGCGTCGGGGTCGGGCGGGAGACGGCCGGCCCAGAGGGCTTTGATTTCTCTGTTTGTCATGGTAGTCTATGGAATAGGAACGCTATTCCTTGCTGGGGGGTTGGTTTGTTCTTGTCTTTGCTGCCTGGACGGTAATAGACTCACGGCGTTAAAGTACTCCTGGCACCGCGAGGTCTGGGCGTGTATGCATCTCATTGCTATTGTCTATAATTGAATTTCTAACTCTGGCCGTTGGCAGTTTGATCAGAGGCTTTCTAATGGGTATCAGGACTTGTTTTACACGCCTGCTTTACTGTGTTGAGGAGGCCCTTTTGTCAATGGTCCTTTATAAACTCTGGTACGGGAAAATCGCAGCATACAAAGCTATGATACCCGACCGAGCTTGGACTGCTTTGTTTACCTGCCATTGAAACAAGAACGTAACTACCTAAAGCTGAAACTGCTTCATCATTACGAATGAAAGTAAAGGCTGCCCAGCATGAGAATCTGGAATTCGTTATGTGTCAAATTACCGAGTCCCTACGTTGCTCCGACTTGGGGCTGCTTCCAACGCGAATGCTTAGTATTTTATACAGACACATACATTCCTTTTTAGCTCTGTGAACATTTGATCAGTGAACTTCTCTTGATCAACGGAACTAAGAAGCATTTTAGTCCCGGTCCCAGGAGCGGCTCCAGCCTTACTAACAACAGTAGAAATCAAGATTGTGCCAAGACTGATCATACAGGCAAGAAAAGACACAAAAGAACATAACGGATCTTGTGGCAGAATGAGTGCATTGAGTCTGACATGCAGTCATCAATGGATGCAGCAGGTTGCTACCTGATTCTCCGACAGAGTTCCCCGCAGCATAGCCATTTATGGGGCGCGCGAAATGGTCTCACAGGGCCTGGATAAAACGGTTTACGACGTACTCACGGATCTGACTGTCGACCAGATCCTCCTCTTTGCGGACGAGATGGTGGAAGGCGTGTTGAAGATTTCTGGCCGCTTTCTGCCTGATGCTACGAATGTCGTTGTTCCTGTGGAGGCATAAGGCACAATGTGATATAGCAGGCCTTGCGTAGATGTTAACATGATCTAACTATCTTAGCGCACGTTCTGTGGAATGGGATAAACTCAGTCACTTAGGGCTGAGTTGAATCTGGCTTGTCCAAGTGTACCCTACTGCGGTGAGACGACGTAAGTAGAAATAACCATGTGAATTATATAAGGTAAAGTATTCGAGAGTAGGATCAATAAGATATTACGGTAACAGTATGCTACATTAGCCTAGCCCAGCAAGCACCATTAAAGCCTTCGCATCGAGCACTTCCTGACAGCACTCCAGCCATGTCCCTACACCCGTCCACCCCTACAGCAGGGCTTACCTATCCGCCCACTACAACAGCGCATAAACAGTATGCAACCGCACCCTCGGCCCCGAAGCCGAAAGCACGGCCTGCACATGCCTCGCCAAATCCCTAGCCGTCCGCCCATTCTCATCGAGCGTCGCAAGACTCGGGCTCCCATGATTACACCCCGTCTTCACAAGCATAATCAGCTCTCGCGCCTGCCGATACAACGCCCGCCTCCTACTCCTGGCCTTCCACACCGGAATCACGCCCGCATTCTGGGCCCCCGCAACCTGCACCAACTTCCCCATCAGCGCGTCAACAACCACATGCAGCAGCGTGCCTCCGACGACCTGGCCCGCCGCCGCCGCCGCCGCCACAGCCGCGGCCGGCACCCCCGGCACAGGCGCGCCAGGCTGCGGATCAATCCGGCGACAGGAAAGCACAGCCTCCTGAGTCCACTTCCACTTATTATTCCCGTGCGGCCACGCGGGAATGCCGTCGGGACAGCGAAGGAACAAGTCCGCGTCCGCGCCCACACTCAACAGGTTACAAAACGCCTTCCAGTTGTCGGGGAACGCAGTCTGCAGCGGCGGGGCATTCTGCGCGCCCCGCTGGTCGATGATGGCCCTCGCGTTGGGCCGCCGGTTGATCGCCAGGATCACGTCCGGATAGCGGCTGTCCACCGCGCTGTGCCAGATGTCAGGGACGTGGAGAGTCAGGTCCAGGTTGTTGTTCAGGTGGAGGGCCGTGAACAGGCGGCGGCCCACGGCTGCGGCCAGGGTTTCCAGCGCTGCGGGCCCGAGGACGGGGACGGGCGCGCCGCCGCCCGGTGGCACGCTCGTGAGATCCATGTGGCCTGGCGGCTGGCCGTGCTGGATTTGGTCCATGCATGCCCAGAGGCGCGGGAAAGCGCGGTAGTTGTCGTTGATGATCATGTCCAGGTGGGTTTCTGTGGAGTTGCCCGCGAACAGAGACGGGTTGTACGGGCGTTCGAGGGCCCAGGCTCGGTTGCCGCGGTTGCGGTAGCAGATGTAGTGCACGATCAGGCGGGGTCTGACGGCGTCTCTGTTCGCGTGCTCGAGGTAGCTTGTGCAGGTGAGGCCGTAGCCCCAGGGGTCCCAGAAGCCATTGTTGTACAGGGCGTCGAGGGCGTGGAGTTCCCTGCGGTGAATGAGCCACTCGATTGGGTCGACATTGTTGAGGGTTACGAGTTTGGCGTGGATGGTGGCTGCGGGCTGGGGTGTTGGTGGTGCGCCGGGGGCGGGAGGGAATCTCGCGAAGTACCAGGCTGTTGTGGTGGCTTCGTCGCCGTTGATGGGCACGCCCCCCCAGAGGGTAGCTCGTGTTCGCCCGTACATGAAGATGGGGACGGTGTAGAGGGGATTACGCATGAAGTCGAGGAGTTGGGGTCTTGTGAACGGGAGCAGGGTGGCCGCGATCAAAGCGGCTGCGGGGGTAAAGGGTGGAGTGGCCCATGCGGCGGTACCGGGATTGGGAGGGAGGAAGCCTGTCCAGATCTGGTTGAGGGCTGCGGTGTTCATGTTGTGGTTGGTCTTGGATTTTTGTCATGATTTCTCTATTCGCCCAACTTGGCACCAGACCCTGTATATGTACCTAGCTACTCCTGCAACCAAAATCCAACAATTGTTCAATCCTGTCCTGTTACTGACCATCTGATGCTATGCGGTCTCAGATGCTTTGGACTATGTTTTACCATGCTGGCTCACAAACATGGATTGTGTACACTTCTTTGTCGAGGCCGACATTGATACAAAGGCTTTGAAATCTGCATCTCTTGTGAAACCAAGATGTCTTACATGCCGAGCATCAAGTTACTGCTAAAACAGAAACAGCTATTGAATCGCATTCAAAGAAAAGCAGCCCTACCTAGGGAGGATAGTTCGCCGCATGTTCGCGATGGCTTTACTTCAATCATGCCGGGGTTAGGGCTAATTGTATATCAGAGACTGCCACTCTACCAAATTATAAACACTGGACTGGATACCCGTTATCTAATTTGTAAAGTGCTATCATCCCAAGCCTCTCCTTTACGCAGCCACAGCTCCCGTATACATCCAGCAACAACCATCGGGGTACGGCAAAGGCGTACAATCTCATCCACAGCCATTAGCCACCCGCCCAGCGCGTAATTTCGATATTCACGTAGAACATAGACACCCGTCAAGTAGGCGTATTTACGAAAATCCATAACCAAGTCAGGCTTGAGCGATTTACATCGCCCTGATTGTTCTTCTTCATCAGCTCGAGCATATCCATCGTCGCTGGAATGACTAGGGCTGCCGTCGGAATCTGATTTAGGGGAGATAGCGGAGCATGAGCATACGTTGGTCTTGTCATATTTCCCAGTATATAAGCCGAAACAAACAAGTGCTTGACGAGTCCAGCGAACGCGACGTTTATAGCGATAAGATGGAGAAGCGAGCGGCCTGTCATGGTCTAGATATAGACGGTTTGCTATGATGTTTTGCAGGCTCAAGGGTCGTGGCTTTCAGCATCGTCAAGTAATCCTATGGATACTTATGGCTTGAGACGGGTAACTATCTGCGGGTGACATGCCATCTCACAGGAACAAAGACGTTCATGCCAGAAGAGTGTAGACGCCTTGCAATGACGAGCTGCAAATACCAGAACAGCTAGCCCTGCTTGAGATTGCCGCTCTCCATACCATATTCCGATAATATGATCGGCATCCCCGTAGCTAGGGTATACCTAAGGTACCAAAGGCTAATCCCGGATGTTACTTAGATTAGAACAAGGATTTGAGATAATACGGTACGTTTCAACAATTGCTCGTATGAAGCGCAGACCTCAAAGAGAACAAAACTCTGGTGTCTAACCGTTCCCGTTACAACAATGGGCATATAAAGAACTGGAAAACCCCCGGACAAACAAACAAAGGTGTAAAACATATCTCCAGACATGCCAGGAAGCAGGTTCCCTCGTAATAAGTTATCCTTGTGAAAATAGAGAATGCAGACGTACATATATCTCTCCTGTCCCTTGCAGGTCCAGAAATCAATAATCACAAGAGAACCTTAGAACTAACATCACCTCACACTTGACATGGCGCGAGCAGCACCAGGAGACATCGCCCAAATCTGGCAAGGCCTTATGCCAGCGCTTGACCCGGTCGTTGCGGCCACCTGGGTCGCGCCACCTAACGGCACCAACCCGTTAGCCCTGGCCACCTACACGAGGCAGCAACTGCTCACATTCATGCGCGATCCACAGTACGCCGTTGACATGTTCACCGAAGGAGAGCGGCCCTTACGCCCAGTTATATGCTGGCCGAACTATCCCCGAATGCGCGATGAAGCAGCCGTGATCTGGCAGTACAGAGCCGTAGACTTCCCACCGGGCCCCGGGGTGCCAGCCCTGCCTCACACGCAGCCGCGGATCGACGCCAACATCCAAACCCTCGGCGTCGTCGATCCCATCCGCCGCCTGATCTACCGTGGCGATCTCCACGCCCTCGACGCCCTCAAGCGAGCCGACAAATGGTCTCCCGACGGGTACGGGCGCGACGGGATGAGCTATGCCGCCATGGCCTGGAACAACGGGGTTCATCTCAACGCCGGACACGAGCTGGTCTTGCACTACATCCTGTACTCCTGCCGCAAGAGCCGCACCTGGGCCCAGCAACCACTGTACTGTCCCCGCCTGAACAGCAACGCCCCAAGCACCGACATCCACCTCGACCTCATCCTCACGCACTACTACCATCTCTTCTGGCGATACTGGAGCTTCCTAGACCGCGTCACCGTGCTGCCAGGCGGCCACATCACCTGGCTGGAGGACAACAACGGGAACCCACGCCTAAGCCCCAGGTCCCTCGCCACGCTGGCCGACAACATAACAGGCGGGCAATACAAATCGCTCATGGCCAACAACGCCTTCGACCTGGCAACCCACGTGCCCGACATCTGGTACCGCGCCGTAAACCCCAATCCCAACGCCAACCTCCCCCAAGCGCTCTGGACCAGCGCCGTCGCCCGCGCGGCCATCGACACCCCCCCGCTCACCGGCCCCTTCCTCGACCCGCCGCTGCAACACGCCTTCACGCTGCGCAACTACAGCGCCTTCGTGCGGCTCCTCCGCGTCGGCGCCTGCGCCGACACCTTCCTACGCTCGATAGACGGGATCCACGGGTGGCACGGCCGGCGGTCCAGGGAGTGGAAGTACATCGCGGCAGCGGTACACTGGCACCGCAACATCAACCCGAACCCGGGGGGCCAGGTGGCCGGGGGCACGCTGTACCACGTGATTGTGCGGATGCTGGACGGGCGGATGATCGCGCTGGCGCTGCGCGTCGGCTTGCCTGGGGCGTATGGGATCACAGCGGCGCAGGAGGGCGTGCTGCGGGCGCGGCTGTATGCGCATGCGCGGCGGTTCATCCAGCTTGTTGGCGGGGGGAGTCGGTTCCATGTCAACGGGCCGAATAGGACGACGAGGAATGACGCGGGGAATACGGCTGCGGATGAGGTGAGGGCTTTGGCGGCCGCGAGGCCGGGGATTCGGCTGCATAGTCTTATTGCATTGTTGTAGGGAGGTTAGATTAGCCAGAAGACTGCCCAGCTAAGACTGGAGGGATGCTGGGATAACCTATGTAGGGCTTCATACCTTGTTGGATCGTTCTGCTGGGCCTGGTGCTTGTTGAGCCCAACTATCATATCGTATTTGAGCGGAAAGCTATGATAATCTAATTTATTATGTAGTTAATATGACTATAGTAACGGTTGAATACCATATAGGCATCCAGGCAGCAGTACTAGACGTGGTGGTTTGATAATAGTATCATGAAGGTATTAATTCAACCACGATCCCGAGATTGGTATACTTAGTACAATAGAAACATCACAATTTCAAACTGACATATATAAAGTGTAGAACCAGGTTACCCACATACTGTTGGTCCTCCGTGCATTTCCCCCTCTTGTTAAATCGCAATTTCAGCAGTTTAATTATGAGGCCCTTTAAATACCGTGTAAAGGAAAGCTGTTAATTAAATAAATACTAGAGAATTAAATAAGAAACATAATAATATTTAAAAGCTAGAGCTAACTAGGGTTTATATAAATAATTTAAGCTTTTAAAAATAATAAAAATTTTAAATATTTTTATTAATACTTTATAATATTTAAAAAATTGTAAGTATTATAATTATACAAGCAAGTAATTTAATAATAAGTATTATAATATTTTAATTAAAATTACTTAAAGTACTTAAGTATTATTAAAGTATTATAATACTTTTTTATTAAATTGTGAGTCGCGTTTGTATACTGCGGTGAGCTTAGGAGAACGTGAATTACTGCAATAGGAAAGGCGTCGTGTATTTATAGTAGGAACTAATTGCTAATTTTTTAAGTTAGAGTTTAAAGTTAAACTTGGTATTTTATATATTATATAACTAGCCGCCGCCTTGGCGCGCGGCTAGTTTAGTATTAATATTTTTTTACCTAGCGGCCTTAGGCCACTAGATTATATTATTATAATATTATATAGTTATAATACTATAATAATAATAATAATACTTTTTTTTTTAAGTAATCGCGCTCTTGTAATCCATAAATTTATATTTATATTTTATAAAATATAATTTAAATTATAGATTTTATTAAGTATTATAAAATAAACTATTTTTAGGTTTATAAAGTATTATAATTTACATGTAATTTATATTTAAAGTTAGGTATAAAAAATTAATTTAATTACCTTATTTTACTTTTAAATTTAAATATAATATTGCTGCCTGCGGTAGCTAGGTATAATATTTTAATTTTAATATTAAAATACTTTTATAATTTTTTTTTTTTTAAGTTTTTTTTATAACTTAATTAAAAATGCCTGCTATAAGTATATACCTTTTTATTATGTTTTTATTACTTTTTAATTATTTAATTATATTTTTAGGGTTAAAATACCCTATATTTATTCTTTCCCGTGCTTTTTAAGTGTTATATTATTTATTTTAATAATATTAATATTATATTAGTATTATTAAGCCTGTATATTTTATTTTATTTTATACTTAATTTTTATAATAAAGCTTTAAGCTTTAAATAGCTAAATTTTTTTATTTTTATATTTTTTTTAATACCTTTAGCGGCTGTTTATAATATATGGTTATTTTATTTTAGTTATTAATATATTATTATATTAGCCTTTTATTTACTTTTTTTTTATGTCCTGCTACGCACTTGCTTTTTTAATTTAGTTAATAAGCTTTTTATATTTAGCTCTTGTTATTTTTATATTTTTAAAACTATTTTTAGTAATTAAATTAAATATAGTTTACCTTTATTATAGCCTTTATTATATTATATATTTTTAACCCTATTTTTTTTTAAGGTCTCCCACGCTCGCCCTTTGCTTTATATTTTTTTTATTTTAATATTTAATATAATTTTATATCACGTTTTAAATGCTATTATTAATAATTATTTATTTTATTATAATATTTTATTTTATATTTTTTTATTATAATAGTTAAGCCTTGGTTTTAACCTTTACTTTTTATTTTACCTTTAATATATAAAATTATATTTCCCTGCCCTTTACTTATATATTAATAACTGCTAATATACTAGTTATTAAAATAACTTAATTTTAATACTTACGTGCCCTTGCTGCTATTATTATTATTATTATTTTTATTACTACCCCCACCGCCCCTATTAATAAGGCTTTTATTAGTATTTTTCCCTTATTACCCCTGGGCTTTATAACTTTACTACTTAATTTTTATATCTCACGGTGTATTATATGTGTTATTATTATAAGGTATTATAATAAAAACATGTTTATTATAAATATTATAATAAAAGCCTTTATATATAATTACTTAGGGGGTGGGAAGTACTAGTTTTATTATAATATAAAAAGGGTGCTTTTAAAGTATATAATTATTAATATTACCCTAGTAGGTAACTAGCTATAAAATATTTTTAATATTATTAATATTATATATATAGGAGCTAATAATCCGCGAGCTTATAAAAACCTTATTATTTTAAAAGTAGCTTATTAAGTATTTAAAATAGCTATTAAGTAAATTATTATAACTAATAATACATAGGTAGCTAACCCTATAAATATTATTATATTTATATTTAACTTTACTTTATAAGTTAATACCCCCCTTAATAAAAATAATAATTTACCATGTAAGTTAGTCCTTTTTTTATAATATTATTATATTTTAATTTACTAATTTATTATAGTAGTTTTTTTTTTAGTTTTTAAACCTTTATTTAGCACTATTTTAGTAGCTATAATTTCTTTTTATATAGGTGCGGCTTTAGCTATTAAGTATATATTTATATATTTTAGTTTATACTATATTATATTACTAATTTTTTTTATAAATTTTTATTACTTTTAATATAGGGTTTGCTGCGCCTTAGCACTTTTAAGAATTTTTATTAAGGTTACTTTTATATTAGGTATTAGTATTAGCGCCCTTATAAGCTTAGTTTTTATTTTATATATATTAGGTGCTGCGCGCCGCGCGGCTTAGCTACTTATTTAAGTTTTTTTTATTATTTTTTATTTTATTTTATATTTTTATTTTTTTTTTTATTAAAAAGCCCTGCGGGCGCTGTTAATTAATAAAAATAATATATTTTTTTTTTTTATAAATGCGCGTAGATTATAAACATAAATATTTATATTTAGTATTTTTTTACTTTATGTAACTTGTTCTTATAGGTTTTTTTAAAATTTTTAAGTATTATAGTTTTGGCTATATAAGCCTTTAGTTTTTATATATTATTTTTTATATTATTTTATCCCTGCTATTTTATAAGGTATTATACTTTACTTTTAAATTTATAAATATTAAGGATTTTTTTAATAAAATATTTTTTTTTGCTATTTACTAGTATAAGACTAATATTTAGTGCTTAGGATAAGTTACCGCGGTAAGGTTTTAAAAGTATAATATAAAAAGTATTATATAATTATTATATATTTAGTAGGAGTAGTAGCTTATAAAACTATTTTCCCTATTTTATAATTACTAGAAACAAACTAATAAGTGTCTTACTTAATTTATAATTTAGTTTTATTAATTTAATATTTTTTATATAAAGTATTACATGATTATTAATTTTAAAGCTTATTTTCTTACGCTTTTTATTATATTAAATTATTATAGCTTTTTTTAATTTTTGTAGTTGCTTTTTTAAATTTACATGGATTTTTTTAAACTTTATAACTTTTTAAAGTTTAATTTTTAATACCTAGTTAGGCCCCTTAATATTAATATATATAGTTACCTTTAAATTTATAAGGGCTTTAATAAGTGTATAACCTATAAATTACTTATACGCGTTATTATTTATAAATTATGCTATTTTAATTTATTATAGCTAATTATTTTAGTGCTAGTTAATATAAGCGCGGAGGTAATGTTTAAAAACTTAGTTTTATTTTTTAATTTAGCTATTTATTTACGGGTAATATATAGTAAATAATTTTTATTTTATACCTAGGTAGTGGCTTAATATAGCCTAAAATATGCTAGTAAAAAAACTTTTATAATTATTAATTATGTTTTTTAATATGCTAATAAAGTAAAAAATATTATTTATAAGGGTATTTGCAAGTTATTTCGTGTTAATATTTTTTAAGTATAAGATATATTATATAAATTTAGTATATATTTTAATTACTACTAGAACAGTATTATATACATGCTTGTTATATTTTATAGGTAGTAAACTAGTAATAAAGTTTATATTAATTTATTTTATAGGTGCCCTTAGTAGGCTTAATAATTTTAATAATTTATATAGTTTATGCTTATAAACCGTGATCTTTAGTAATTATTATACTTTTTAATATGTTTTTTAATATATTTAGTTATATTTAGCTAATAGTACCTTTAAAAAATATTTATAATAGTTATATTAACACCTTAATACCTACCTTAGGGCTTGTTATAGTTTACTTTTATAATTTTTTTATAAAGTGCCACTAACTTTAGCATATAAACTTAGTTTTTAAAGTATAATAAGCTATTATTTATTACTTTTTAATACTTAAGGTTTTTTTTATGGTCTAGATTTATAAGGTTATTTTTTATTTTTTTAAATTTTTTATTATATTCTTAGGCTACTTAAAGTAGTTTTATAATACTTAATTATAATTTATTTATATATAGGTTTTTATTTACTATAATAGCTTATATATTAAGTTATAATTTAAACTTTAGGTATAATAGTAGTTAATTATTTAGTTACTTTTATAATTTATAAAAAACTATTTTACTTATAGTTTTTTTTTTTTTTTTTAGGGACATAGTTTGCTTTTTTACTTAAAGTATTTACCGGGTTTTTTGCCCCCGGGCAGTATTTAATAATAAAATTAAAAGTTATAAGTTTTTTAGTTTATCGCGCTTGTTTTTATATTAAGTTTTTAATTATTATAAATTATTATAAATTATTATAATTTATAAGCATTTTAATAAGGAATTTACTATTCTTAAGGTAGTGTTTCCAGACTTAAAAGTATTTTATAATTATAAGTATTTTAAAGTTATG